TTTTTAAAATTTTAAATTATACAATTATTAATTCTTTTGCAGCTGACGATCATGACAAAAATTATGCAAAAAAAGTCTTTGATGAAGTGCTAGACAAGCATAAAGCCGGTGATTTGCCTAAAAAGTTTAAATCTGCATCGGACGTCTGGGAGGCTGAGATCAACGGGAAAATCACTTCGTAATTGAAAATTTATTAATTTCTTTTTTAATTGAGATTTTATGTTTGATTCTCTAAATAATTACTATTTATCTCTCTTTTTCAGGTTAAATTATTGGTTATGCAGTAAACATCCAATTCTCTATGATCCTGCTGACCAAAAAAACTTTTTGTTATTGATCAACGATATCATCTTTCGCTATGGATTAAAGAATTGGTTGAATGGAGCAGAAGATTTTAAGTGGGTGCATTTCCGAGGTGAAATTAACAGAGCAAAAGAACCAAACAAAAATGCTTATCAACAAATCCTTCAGTTTAGAGTTGGAAAAAGTCGTGGGTCGGCTTCAAAAAAGGGAAATCTTCTGGAACCTCCCTCTTATCATGCAGGTTCAGATATTGTAAGATTTTCGAGGAATGCCTTGATGCATTTTGAAGAAAATTATAAAAGAGGCAACGTAAGTTGTTGTCCTTTTTATTTTATTTTTAAAGGAAGGTAATTAAGTTGTCTATAATTAGAGAGTTTTTTGTAATTATATATGCTATATCTCACCAATAAGATTTTAGTTATAGGTTAGTACTCACTAAAATATTAATTTGAGATTAAGGTGGGAGACTCAAATCTTTGCTCAACAAACTAGTTAACACTCATATGTACAAAAAAGAAAAATTATATTCTTTTTTGTTAATTAAAAAGTCTTAATAAATGTAAAATTGCACAAATGAAGTTAATGATAATTTGACAAATAAATTAAACCACCTCTTTTTTAGATGGTATGACCAAGTAATTAAATTGGTTTAGATAAAGGGTGTTTTTTTTTTTTTTTTAAATTTTTTTGCATTATAACTATATTCCTTATTATAATTCTTTATAATATTTTTCTACAGAATAACACTAACTGGGATCGTTGTCTGGATAAGCGTGAGATTGTGGAGATACTAGATGATGAGCTTAATGTCTGCTCTCTACATTATGAAATTGCAAGGACAATTATTGCTAAAGATCCACCTGAGAAATATACGTAAATGCTAGTAAAAATTGTGTGTACAATTTTTATTTTATGATATTTTTTCTAATATGTTAAACTTAATTACTTCATATCTTTTTCTTGCAGGGAAGAGGGTTGGAAGAACCATCAAGCAAATGAATGGAAAAACTTAAAGTAAATACTACTTTCTCCATTTTAAAATAACTGTTTATTTTTTTGTAAATTAAAAGTTTAAAAACAATTTATATATTTATCTATATTATTCTTAAAAAGAGAAAAAGATAAATAAAAAATTTTAGTGATAAGTGAGTAATTAAAATTAAAAATAACTATAGAGTTAAAGTAAAAAAAATATTTATTTTTCTTAAAATTTAAAGACTAATTAATTTAAAATAAATTTTATGTAAAAAAATTACGACTATTTTTGGCACAGAAGGAGTAGTAACAAATTGCATGTATGCTTTTATTTTATAATTTTCTACTGTTAAATTGAGTATATGTCCTTCTCTTTTAGGGAGTGGGCACAGGCAGCAGAGGTAATTAGTCTAGCTTATCAACCAGTGCAACTAAAACTAAGGTAGATGCCCCTTCTTTTCTCTCTAAATAATTGTCATTTTTAATTTAAAATAATAATTTTTTAAAGATGAATTTCTTTTTACTTCACCTTATTATTGTTTTTATTTTAATTATCACCTAATTACTATATAAATTGTTCCCAAATTCTTAATATGCAATAAAAAATTAAAAATAACAATTATTTCAGAACAGAATACAAAATTGTATCTAATACTTTTATTTTATGATATATTTTCTAATGTTAAACTGGGTACATATATTTTTTTCTTACAGGGTCAACAAATCCGATGAGTGGATGGAGGCAACAAAAGTTCTTCAATTTCATCAACCATTGCATCTTAGGACGAAGTAAATGCTAATTGGCTTGTATGCTTTTATCTTACGACAATGACATAGTTATAATGTCACGTATAATTATAAATTTATAATTATAATGTGACATTAAATGATTATGATGTAGTATTAAATAAGTGAGTACATAAAATATTACTAGTGAACTTTTAGATGAAAAGAACTACTTATATAATAATATATCATTTTATAACCTTATAATAATACATGATATTGTAAGTATAATATTTTCGTTTATTTTATGATTTTTATTTTACAGTTAAATTGAGTACATGTCTTTTCCTTGCAGGGAGAACCAGTCCGTTTTTTGGATGGAAGCAACAGAAATTAAAACTCGGTTGAAACTTTCAACTTAAATGCTACAAAATTGTGTGCACGCTTTTATTTTATGATATTTTTTTAAATGTTGAATTGAGTTCATATCCTTTTCTTGTAGGATTAAAGAGGCGAAGCTAGATGAACTAGAATTTTGGACGTAAATACTACCAAATTGTGTGCATGCTTTTATTTTATGATATTTTTTCTAATGTTAAATTAATTTGAGTACATATTCTTTTCTTGCAGGCAGGACGATAGGAATAATAATTTGCAGGGGAAGTGGATGAAATTTAAAGAAATTGAAGAAAAAGATAAAGCTGATCAACCATTAAAACTTCGGACGTAAATACTACAAAATTTTGTACAAGCTTATTTTTTTATGATATTTTTTTTAATGTTAAATCGAGTACATATATCTTTTTCTAGTAGGAACGTGTCTGCTGCTTGGATGGAAGTAAAAGATATTTTTCGACATCTTGGACCACTACAACTTTTGGTGTAAACCCTACAAAAATATCATGTTTGCTTTTATTTTATGATATTTTTTCTCATATTAAATTGAGTACATAAATCTTTTTCTTGCAGGGACGTGGACACTAATTGGATGGAAGCAACAGATATTTTACAACATCATGAGCCGCTGAGCCTTTACACGTAAATGTTACTCCATCTTTCTCGAAGTAACTATTATTTTTTAACTTTGGATTTATCATAAATCAATTGTCATTTTTTTTTATAAGATAAATAAATATTTTTTTTATTTTAATCTTATTATTATCTATTTATTTTGATTAATTATCTTATCGCAAAAATTCTTACTTTATCTTTTAGCTTTTTTTTTTAAGGGTAATATAAGTAAATATATAAATAGTCCTCAAATCCTTAATTTGGAGAACAAGTCAAAAAATGACAGTTATCATGAAACAAAGGGGGTACAAAATTGTGTTTATACTTTTATTTTATGATATCTTTTCTCATTAAATTAAGAACATATCCTTTTCTTGCAGGAAGGAGGGTTGGAAGCTGAGTTGGACGAAATTAGAAGAAATTAAAAATAAAGCTAATCAACTACTGGAACTTGAATTGTAAATGCTACAAAATTGTGTGTTTACTTTAATTTTATGAAATGTTTTCTAATGTTAAAATTGACTACATATCCTTTTCTTGCAGGAAGGAGGATTCAGGGGAGACTGTTTGGAAGAAATTAAAAGACATTAAAAATGAAGCAAATCAACAACTAAAACTTTGCATGTAACTGCCACAAAATTGTCTACATACTTTTATTTTATGATATTTTTTTGAATGTTAAAATTTTTTTTCGATGAAGGAATGTTAAATTGAGTACATATGTATCTTTTTCTTGCAGAGGAGTGTCCAATTGGATGAATGCAGAAGAAATTTATAAACATGATGAAGGACTTCTGAGCCTTCGGATGTAAATGATACAAAATTACGAGTATACTTTTATTTTATGATATTTTTCTAATGTTAAATTGAGTACATATCATTTTCTTGCAGGAGGGAGGTTTCACGGAAGGAGGATTCGAGGGAGTGTAATTGGAAGAAATTAAAAGAAATTAAAGAAGCCAAGCATTATCAATCACGAGAATTTTTTACGTAAATGTTGCAAAATTGTGGACATGCTTTTATTTTATGATATATTTTTTTTATGTTAAATTGAGTACATATCCTTTTCTTGCAGGAAGTACGGTTGGAAGAAATTAGAAATTAAAGAAGGAGCCAATAGCAAACTAGAAATTCGGACGTAAATGCTACAAAAATTGTGCAAATGCTTTTATTTTATGGTATTATTTCTAATGTTAAATTGAGTACATATATATCTTTCTGTTGCAGGATAGAATCCAGTAAAGCGAAAGAGGGGGAAGTACAAGAAATTAAAAATGAAGCTGATCAAGAACTAAAACTCTGGACGTAAATGCTAAAAAACTGTGTGCATGCTTTTATTTTATGATTTTTTTATTATTATTTTAGTGTTGAACCTAATCAAGCATCTAAATGCTACAAAATTGCATGTTATGCTTTTATTTTATTATACTTTTTCTACTGTTAAACTGACTGCTTGTATCTTTTTTTGCAGGATTGAGAAGGATTGGAAGCTAGTTGAAGAAATTATTGAATATGATCAACCACCGAGTCTTTGGGTGTAAATGCTACAAAATTTTGTGTATGCTATTATTTTTTGGATAGTATCTCTACTGTTAAATTTGAGTACAATTTTTTCTCTTGCAGGAGGAAAGTTCCGGATAGGAATCAGGCTAATATTCAAGATAAGGCTCAAAACAAGGGTTATTGGATGGATGCATTTGAAGCTGATCGACCAGGAGCGGAATTTTTAACGTAAATGATAGAATAAAATTGGGTGTATGTTTTTATTTTATGATTTTTTATTTTTACTGTTAAATTGAGTATGTATTTTTTTTCTTGCAGAAAGGAGAATTGGTTAAAAGCAAGAGAAGAATTAGAAAAGTTCTTCAACTCACTAAAATGTAATCTACTTTCCTCTCCTATATATTAAGAGTTTTTTTAACTTGTATTTTAAGGACACATATTAAAAATGTTTGCATTGATTAGTAATTAAAAATATAAAAAACTAATATTAATTTTACCACCAATGTACTCCTGTGTTCCTGTCCCGTAATTGAATGTTGTGCAACTAAAATTTTTTTTAGTATTTCTAAAGTAAATTAAAGCTTTTAAAATATCAAATAAGAGTTTATACAATGTTTTACACATTGTGTCATATATGTGTCATCCTTTGAAGATTGGCCTTGACATTTATGAGCACAGTATTCCTTGCTGTTCCCTAACTATTTTCTAATTTCTATATACTGCATGTATAATTGGTGCAGAGAACATGGTTGTACTCGAACGTGGATTGTGTCTCTGCAAAATGGTTCCATTCCAGTGTTCCCCTAGTGCTCTGCATGGCATTAATGTGTTTGATGCTATTAATGTTGGTTAGTGTTAGTACTGACATTGATGAATTGTTAATGTTGTTATTATTTGCCAATGTCGCATGCATGGACTTGGAAGATGCTTATTTGCTTATACATTTGTGAAACGTTTATTTATGTTTGCTTTTTTGTTGTTTATTTTGAACTTTCAAGTTTATTCTTGTAGTTGACCACTGCGAAGCCCTAACCCCACTTGCATGGCAATGGATTGGAGGCTTGTTTGATTCGAAAGGGTCAACTTTATTAAGAAAATTTTACTAGAAAATTTATTAAAAAGATGTTGTATAAAAATTGATAAGTTTTATAGGTAAATTTTATTAGATTATTAATTTTTTTTTATATTTGATAAAAAATTAATATAGCAAAAATTAATAAAATTTTTTTCAAGTTATACGTAAAAGGAGTTAGGAAAGAACTTTTTCCTTTTTAAAAATGTGGAAAGAAACATTATAAAGTAAAAAGTCTAATGCTGCATAGAGAGAAAATGGCTTGGCAACCACACAGTCCTTTAGTTTGAGGGTGTTAATCCCAAACTTTCTTAAGAACTTGGAGTGGATGTATAAGACAATTATAAAATTGCAGAATTTTTGTATGATTAATTGAAGGTTATATCCCCGATTCAGTCCCTTAACTTTCATTTTTGGACTAAAATTACCCTTGAACTTCAAAAAGTACTAAAAATATCCTTAAACTTCAATTTTTGAAACTAATTTAGTCCTTCCGTCGACGGAAGTGACAGATGTCACGTTAAATTGCCACGAAATCAATTTTGGTTGAAAATCTTAATGACCTGTAAAATAAAACAATATCTTTTTCGCCACTGTAGCATTTTTCTATTTCCACATCAGAAATTTTACAGACAATTTCCACTCAATTTTCCTTCACTTTCCCATAAACCAAACAACAAAAATTCATTCCATCCAAACTAAATTCAAATCCCGAGGCTTCGAACCATCAA